TGCTCACATGAGTGTTGCATCTTTTGATGATATTTCAGTTTAGTAGGAGTTTGTATTCGAATGTTGTATGTTTTAGGCACATAATTCTATTTATGGATATTCGATTTATTTCATACATAAAGTATTTAGTTCAATTCCGCTCTAATTAAAATTTATGATTGATCTGATTAAAGAATAAGGTAGGATCAGTTGGAAATGGGCATGGTTGAATCACATTGCATGTAAATTTCATGCTACACATCCACACTTGATCTATGTTATTTGATTGTGTTAATATACGTGACCACTGATGGTTTAGTTATAATATTTGTAACGAATACCGCTTTGATCATATATTGACATAATTGATATACAAGATGTTTGGAGATGCTTTTAGTTACGATAACACAAATTTTGACATTTTAAGGTTATATACATTTTATAAAGAAACATGTGTCCCAAGTGTGAGATTGTTGAAAAATTATTAATTTGTCATGTGGGCATACATATGTAATTAATTGTGTATAAGATTATCTTAAAATTAAGCTCAAAATTAAAGTGATCTAATAAAGAATTAAATTGTTGGGATTAGAGTATCTAAATAAAGTGTAGGCTAAATCATGTGTAGAGACCAGATTCCTTTAGAATTGTACTTCCTAATAGAGAAATACATACGGAAATTATGTATAGGATTAAGTCCCCAATTCATATAAAACAATATATTTTTTGTGGCATTCCATCAACACAAGAATACAAGAGAAAACATATTGAAGAGGAAGATCTAATACCCACAATCTAAAATCAATAAGAAATAATTCAAGAATCACGACTGTAGATCAAGAAACAAAATCAAGAACAAGAATTAAAGAATCGAATGAGGCAAAATTCAAGATTAAAAGTGAATAAACCAAAGACGTAAAGATTGCAGTTGAAGTTTCAAGATTCAAGATCCAGTAATAAATAAACATTCCTATAGAATTAATGTATGTTCCGCATTATTAATTTTTCTTGGTGACTTGACATGGAGGATCTTGACAATAAAGGAATTTAAATTTTCAAGTTCTAAAGTTTAAAGTTTCATAAAGTTTCAACAGGCAAATTTCAATATTTTCACAAAAAAAAGGATTGAAATGGTAAAAATAACAATAGGATGAATATCTATCGTCATCGGTAGATAACGTAAAAGTGTGAAATTCATAAATAAATTCATTTTCTCTGTTTCTCATAACAAGAGATACAAAGAAAGTAGTAGCTATGTTAATCGGATAAAAATACATTAATATATTTGAGAAACCTAAAATGTAACTCATAAATTATATTTTAAGTCGGACTTTAATTTTATTCACTCATTTCTTATGATCTACAAATATCGTTCACTTATTCAAACGCCCACGTAATGTCAAACTAGCTCGGGAGTGGGTTAAGATGAATTTTGAAAGGATATTTTGAAAATTTAGCTTTCATAGTAATTATCTACTAATGAACTTTAAATAAAGAAGATGGATCTTCTTCTTCCTTTTTTGGCATCAAAGATGATGAATCTAATATTTCCTAATATTCATGTACACATATTAAAAATAGTAGTCTTTGACAGTATGTGAAACACAATAGTGGAGTGTTTAAAATATAGAAAATATCAACGATATTTTTCATCATTCAAAAATATCATTAGTCACCACGCTCATACATAATCAGAACACTTTTTTTGGACCACATGTCATCTCAAAAAATGCTAATATACCTAACTTGTCCTTGTCAAAAAAATAAGACAGAATTTTCTTCACTTAGTTGCACTTTAAAGTTGTTTTCTTTAATAATAAAGCAATACTTAAAGTTTTGTGCATAAATAAATTTAGAAAGATACTATAAGTACATCAATTTTCACATCTTTTTTCACAGCACACACATACAAGTGGGAATTTTCATAAATTTAAATATGAAAAAAGCTATGATATGATATATTAATTAGTACAATATTACTAAATAAATGTCATGATATCTTTTTCGATCATTTGATATTTCATTACACATAAATAATTATTTTGTTAAATTACATATTATATATGTGTAATATAAATAATATATTAAATATCACATTAATGAGAATCATTTTTAAACAATTATAGCCCTACTATAATTTAATTATTTTAATAATATCTTACTTTTCATTTTTCAATATGCATTTAATTTATTTAACCCAATTTAGTTACATCAATGTACATGTACATTTCACAAACATATATAACTTGTGCGCTTTCATTGATGTATGAATTATTTATCATTAATTCTCAATTAATTAACATTTACTCATTTAATTAGCATTCATTTTCATTTATGAATTTCGGTGTTATTAATTATAATTATACATTAATTAAAATTCATTTCACCCGTGTACTTTCAATTAATGTATGAATTACCCATTGTAAATTATGAATTATATTTATGTTCATTTATGCATTTCAGTGTTATTGCTTGTAAGTTAATTAAAATTTCACATTTAATATTTAAGAATGCATTTCATTATTCACGTCTATGTATACTAATTAACATCCAATTTTACTTAATTGGAATTAAATATCACATCAAGTGAGAATCAATTTTTCGACCCTATCGTAATTTAATTATTTTAATAATACCTTACTTTTCATCTTCAAAATACATTTAATTTATTTAACAATTTAGTTACCATCAATGTACAACACATTTGACAAAATTCATTTCATATGTGTGCTTTCATTAATAAATGAATTACCTATTATTAATTCTCAATTAATTGACATTTACTCATTTAATTAATATTCATTTTCGTTTCTGCATTTCAGTGTTATTAATTATAAGTATGAGTTAATTAGAATTCATTTCACCCGTGTACTTTCATTAATGTTTGAATTATCCATGATTAATTTTCAATTAATTAACATTCATTCATTTAATTAATATTCATTTTCATTTATACATTGCGGTGTTAATAATTATAATTATAAGTTAATTAGAATTCACTTCATTCGTGTGCTTTCATTGATGCATGAATTATCCATGATTAGTTTTCAATTAATTAACATTCACTTATTTAATTAATATTCATTTTCATTTATGCATTTCGGTGTTATTAATCGCTCAACCTGTGTTTTGTTTTCATTGATGTATGAATGACCCATTATTAATTCTCAATTAATCAACATTTACTCATTTAATTAATGCTCATTTTCCATTTCGGTGTTATTAATTATAATTATAAGTTAATTAGAATTTCACATTTAAGAATGCATTTCATTATTCACGTCCATGTATACTAATTAACATTCAATTTTACTTAATTGGAACTAAATATCACATCCAGTAAGAATCATTTTTGGATGATTTTAGCCATACTATAATTCAATTATTTTAATAAAATCTTACTTTTCATTTTTCAATATGTATTTAATCTATTTAACAATTTAGTTACCATTAGTGTACATGTCTATTTGACCGATTCATTTCACCCATGTACTTTCATTAGTGTATGAATTTTCTATTATTAATTCTCAATCAATTAACAATCACACTCGTTGAATTTATATTCATATTCGTTTATGTATTTTTGTGTTATTAATGTTAATTATAAGTTAATTAGAATTTCACATTCAAGAATGTATTTCATTTTTCACGCCCATGTATGCTAATTAACATTCAAATTTATTTAAATGGAAATTAAATTAATTAATTTAACATTATATATATATATTAAAATTTAAAATATGTCAAGTTATATTCTAAGGAATAATACTATTTGCAACGCTCACTACCGCAATCACCATACGTAGCATACATGTGGTATTAGGGCTGGACATGGTCGGTTCGATTTTAACGAGAATTGAATCGGACTCGAAATTTTCGAATATTTATTAAATGGAATCATCGGGCCCAAATTTAATTATGGAACCATTCGGGTTAGGTTCCATTTGGTCAGTTCGGTTTGGTTCCATTCGGTTCCTAAGTTTCGTAGTATAATTAAATTTTTTAATATTTACAAAGTTCCATTAATTCAATTAATGATATGTTCAATCTTAACTCTTACAAAATAACGTAGTCCAATCTTATGTGTGTTTTACGTCTCTCTTTGCTGAGTTCTATTGATTGTTAAAAATCCAGGAAGAGGAAAATAGTGAATTCAAAATAATTAAGAGATGCGTTGTCGAGCTTCAATTCGATTTCTCCATAACAGTGGAAACGACACTATGATAGAGTAACAGAATTGGATAAAATTTAGGTAAATTTGATTAAATTGACTTTGAACTGAAAATTAGGAATAAGAAATTCATATTTTTGGGTTTGTGCTAAATTAACTAGTTAGCAAATTTATATAAAAAATAAAATAATTTGGCTTATTTCAAATAAATTAATTAAAAATTTTTAGATATTCGATTCTTGATCTAGAATCGAAAATCGAACCAAACTCATCGGTTCTTGATTCAGATACTCGTTTGAGTATTTAACTTAAGTAAAAATCGCCCAATTCGAGAGTTTTGTCCAACCCTTGTGGTGGTAATTAGTAATTTGATCCATAGGGTAATAAAAAAAACTACCACATTAATACATACAATCACTGATCGTCACGTGTATGCAATGTTGAATGACTACGACAATAAGCGATGACAGATAACATTACTTTCTTCTAATAGATTTTAATATAAATTAACTACTCAACAACGATTAGGATTCTAGTAACTAGGTCCTACAAGCTCGAATCTAATGTCTAAATGCACTTCACCACTATACCATTTTTTGCATATAACATATTTTGAACTGAACAAAATACAATAATCTGTGCGATATTAAGTACCTGTTTGGTGAAAATTAAAATTATATTTTTAACAGATTTTAATGAAATGTGTCGTTAAAAGGTTGTGAATCTCACAAAATATGTGGTTATTAATTTTTAACTTTGACTAAAATCTAAATTTTAATTTTCAACAAACACGATTAAACATCTTTCTTGATGTTAATTATCCTAGTTATTAATTAGTGTTAGAAGCATCAACAAACAATTGATAACAATTTACATCCTAAAATTCTCTTTGCCACCAATAACCTCGTAATGGAGAAAAACTACTGAAAACTAGTCTAGTATCGTCAACAAAAGAAGATGGGCCGATTAAAACAAAATACAATGAGATCCTCTATTTCAATATCATAAACCTCTATCGGACGGGACTAAACAAGGCCTACACGGCAAGCTCAACCGGTCAACTGATATATCGACGAGAAACTCATTGTCGAGTGCTTAGGGCATCGAATGGCCGGCGCGGAACGGCAGCAGCCCACGGGTTGAATGTGATTGGACGGGACTGAGCAGGACCTACACGACACGGTAAAGGCTCAACCGATGTAACTAATTTGGCCGTTGATGACGGGGTTGGTGGGACCGCGACACGCTCACATGAAGGACACATGGTGAGGGTTGTTGGTGGGGTCATTTGCATGTACATCTGTGGTGACAGTTTAAGCGCCCTTAGTTCTTGCACTTCCTTCTGTAATCTCCTGTTCTGTTCTGTCAAATTTTCACAACACCTCTTCAAGAACTCACAGTCAACTTCAGTTTGCTTCAGTTTTGTCCTGTAAAAATGATTTTATAAGAAGTTCGTTAGCCAAGCCAATAACTATGATTAATTTGAAATCATACATTCCGAATCTTGATTAATTTTGGGTTCATTGTTCGTAGTTTTGTTTTAAATCAAATCCCTCTGAAGAAGTCTATTAACTTTGACAAATGAATCCATGATCTGTGTAAATCACGTCTATTTATTCACATATTTTATACAACCCACAAATTTTTCGAAATCCACCAAGCAAGGACGAAGAAAATGGCTCACCTTGCCCTCCTGTTCTGAAACCACACTTCCACCTGCCTAGGCCTCAGCCCCAATCTCTTAGACAAAGCCAGCTTTTGCTTCTGCAGAACACCAAAAAAAAGTTAAAATCTTATTCATTGTGCAGTCTTGGGTCTGAGTTTTATCTAGTACTGCATATGGAACATGCACTTACGGGATTCAAAGTATTGTGTTCTTTGAAGCTTTCTTCAAGAATGGCGGATTGGTCTTTTGAAAGCCTGAGCTTTTTCCGGGATCCGTCACCATCTTCCTCATCGCTGATGCCTCGAGAGCAATCCCTTTCGAGTTCGGGATCATCGCTGCCGGTGGGTTCTCTTTCGCTTCGTTTCCCACTCACGCTTGAGATTGTACTGTTGGGCGAAGACACACCTGCCTCCTCCTCCAAGTCCGCCGCCTTAGGCAAGCGGTTAACGTCAATACCCTTCAGAAACGTCCTGGTTTCTCGATCTGCTATAACCACGCCAAATACGTTCAGAAAAACCAGCTACAGAATTTGTCAAGACTAAACAACAACAAAAATGTGGGATTTGAAAGCCGGGGTCGGCGAAAAAGAATAAATGCATCAACTTTTCAGATACTAACTATCAACAGCTTTTCCTTCTAAGGGAATCATTTTTCCTCTGTTGATGCTGAGTTTCAGAACAAAAAAAAGGGCATTTTTAATTTAATCTTTTTCCCTTTAGCTGAGAAAAAAATTAGAAGTTAAAAAGAAAAGGTTTTAAGGGGAAAAGAGTAGATTAGACAAAGTGAATTTGTTAACTTTTTTTAATGAGATCTGGTAAAAGATGAAGAATCAACCTGAGGAAGGCCAAGAAGGCATTAGATTCAGCTGCAGTGAAGTATTAGAGCTAGGAGACATCCAGTTTTCTGCTGGGAAATTCAAGCTTAGACTCAAACCCAAATCTTCTTTGTCCAAAATCATTTTCCCAAAAAAAACAAAACCCAGTTTCTTGAGTTCCTGGCTCTGTAGAGAGAGAAGAAGAACTGATTAATTCAAATGATGAATGCAGATTGGCATGAGAGGATGCAATAAAGGGTAATTTATAGGGGGGAAAAATACTCTTTGAGGGGTAGAGATGAGAGTTATGATGGGGTTGATGAGGGTTTGTCATATATCTCAATGATGGATATTGTCTGCCTTTAACATTACTCAATTATTTATTTGACTGCTTTTTCTCTCTCTTACCCACACACATTTAACTATCAATAATTATTATTTTTGACTAAAAAAGGGAGATGGGAGTCATATGTTAGCTGAGGAGCTCAGTTTGGCTTGGAAGTGAAGTTGCAAAGGCATATGCTTTGGGGGTTTAGAAAGATAATTCTCATAAGTTGGAGACCTTTAGTGTAATTTTCTCTAATTTAATTTCTCGAAATTGCCTAACAGGCGGCTGGGAGCCTATGATTCATAATTATTAGACCCAACCCAAGTAACGACTGATCAAGGTATTGGGTCGTTGAATCGATAACGGTACTTGTGGGCCATTATTGTAAAAAGTATCCAATGATGATTGTAGAGTATGTTTTTGAGTGGCGATGGTGCAGTCTAGTAGTGCTAGTCAAATAGATGAGTCGATTCGTCCTTCCCAGCCTTTCTATATCTAATCAATCACTTTCAATTGAATACTGAAGTGCAACAAGCAGTATAGTATGAGGACTAAATGCAAATTTCTCTTACTAAATTATTGGTCTAAAGTTATGTCAGTTTGGCTTTGGGCACTAATCATTTACATCATGATGCATGACTGGATGATTATCAGGTAACATCATTTCCGACCCCACCTCACCCTACCCTGCCCTGCCCTACCCTCCCCTACCCTACCCTTCCCTTCTGGTTTGAAACCTTTTTCATGTGATTATCACGCGGAAGGATATTTACAAAGCTGTCATTTTCTTATCCTTTTTATTCGATTTTATAGCATGATAATATGCCTCTTTAAAGTCACCCTTTTATCCATTTTTTTATTTTTATGGTTAAAGACTTTCTCAAGATTTTTGTTCAAATTAAAATTTAGCTTGACTTCTGATGCACATGTAATTCGAGCATAGGACGATAATGTTTAACATTACTTTACATTTTTAAGTTCAGTCAATTGCAACTCTGAAAACCTAACGAGCATGCTTCTCATGAGTATAGTGTAGTACAGCGCAATGCATTGAGTGTAATACTTAGGCTGCGGTTGGTTTGGCGTTTTCAAACTATTTTTCGTTTTCCGTTTCCGAAAACGCGTTTGATCTGTCGTTTTCGAAAATGTCGAAACGAGTTAAAATTTATAACTGAAAACGCAAAACGACTTTTTATCATTTTGAGCATTTTTAGTTTTAAATTCTCAAAACGCGAAAAACATCCAAAACGCACCGTTTTGAAACCAAAAATTAAAAATTAAAAATTAAACCAACCGCAGTCTTAGTTCTCAGAGAAAAGATTAAATAAAGCAAAATAATTAACGTAAGTGCAATATTGTCATCTCAAAGTTTACAATAGTACAAATTAGAGAGAGTGCATTGTCTCAAACGTATAATAAATTGAAGTATTTTTTTTGTTTTTTGTTTTTTTGTTTTTTTATTATAAAGTTCATTCTTGACGAAACATTATACAAAATTAAATCCATAATTACGTTAAAAAAAAGTCAAGAAAAGAAATGCAATCTTTAAAAAATAAAAAATAAATAAAATTTAAAAAATAATGTTATCTAACGGTGCACTTTTAATTATCCAACGAAGTTAAGATCATTTTGATTAATTAAACTGTCTAGATTGACTCTAAACATTCGATAGCATTATCCCATCTCAAATCGAAAGTAAGATAAGAAATTTGAGGGAAAAAAAATAATCTCAAATTGACATAAAGATAGAAGTTCAAAGTAGAAAATATGTAATGATTTTTGTCGTTACAAAGAGTTCTGTAACTTTCAATCAAATGCAATATCTAGCATCTTTACAAGCCAAGCCAAACAAATAAGCTTCCGTTTGACCCTCATTAAATTTTATTTTATTACATTTAATTTTTCTCTCTTATACTTTTAACTACACAATCTTTCATAAAATAATATTACATGTAAATCGAAATTTTTTTTTTTTTTTAACCACTCATTTTTTAAAAATACTATTTCACTCATTTTCATTTTAAAAAAATGAGGACGAAAGGGGAGCTAAGAGTTCGAACCGGCTTAAGCAGCCGATCCAAGCCAAGAAGGTAGAGAGAGAAAAGGCCAAAATAAAGTGGAATACAAAATTAAGAAAAGTAGGGCAGTTTTCGCGGGGGCAAAGGGAGTGGAATTCACGTGGGAACTCACGTGGACCGGCATGTCACACTGTTAAACAACGTGGTTTTCAGCATTTAATGCGTGATACATTTGAAAAGACAGCCCGACACCCAATCTCTCTACAATCATTTGAACTATGCCACAGCCTCTCCCTCGTGTCCCATCCATGCCTTTCCACATGTCCCCACCTTCTTTTTAAAAATAATAATAATACTTAAGGTTGAACCGCAACGGCTCCCGTCTCGTCTCTGAAACATCGTGAGGGAAGTAAATCACAAAATGTGTCCCAACAAGTTAGGGAACAAGAGCTTATCCGTACGCTGGTGCCCACAAAAAATCAAAGAATAATAATACTTATTTGGACCGACGGTCATTGTTTGGTAAAAATTTTGCTCAGAATAGTAAATTTTGAAGAATGTTTAGGATGTGTTTGTCACCCATTATTTGGAAAGAATGTATTATGAAATAGTGATTGATGTTGAAATATGTGATTTAAAAAAGAAAAAAATTAATTTACTTGTAATATTATTTTAATAAAGAATATGTAATTGAAGATGAGTACTGTAAAAAAAATAATGAAAAAAAAGAAGAGAAAATGGATAATAAATAGGGGCTTAATTATAATTTTGGGATAAGTTTTGAATTTACGTGCAAAATACTTTTTATCGAAATCCAACTTATAACACATTGATTATGAATAATACATAATGTAGAATTAGTCTACAACTTATAAATATTTAAAAGCACTACTTGACAAGCAATTAACATAGCTAGGCAACGATTTATATATCAATGAAGTCACTGAATATGAAAAATGTTATCTAGCACAACTAGTGCTACAATACCTATTTAAATGGTGCTATGTAATAGGGTCGACGAAATTTAGAATTAAGTGACTCGTTTAATATTACATCGGTGACACCTAAATTGACAAAATTATTCAATGCATATAGTGATACATCAGTGAATTGATCAACTAGCTAGATTTGAGTTGTTCGAGTCAATCCAATTTTTTTTATTAAAAAAAAATCATTTTTTTAAAATCAATTTTTCTTACTTTTTAATGACACTTTCTTAACTGAATCATTTTTCACAAAATCCATTATTAAAAAACCTACATTTACAGGCTCTAAAAAAATTTCAAATTACTTTTCTTGAAGTTATAGTATTGCTTATGTTTCAAAAAGTCTAATTACCTCCCATTCCGTTCGCCAATCAAATATTTTTTGTTATTTTGTGCTACTAACTGATTATTAAAATAGAAATAGCAATAATAATTTATCAAAATTCTTACTTTTAGCTACTCCAAATAGGAAATTGTTGTATTCTTCGACAAATTATTGAAGTTGGGAATTCGGGTAATTTGCAAATTTTCCTAAGTTGAAATGGTGGGGGCACAGATATACTATTGACATGCCTATTCCCAAAGTAACATATTTTAAGGAATATCACGCCCCGTCCTATCTTTGTGTTATGCCCTCCTTCCATCTGTCACATTCGTATAGACTTTCTTTTTTCTTTGTCCCAATTATATAATCTTATTTCTTTATAGATAAATTTTGTTTTGTTTATTTACTAATATATCATTACTTAATTTGCTTAAATATATTCAATTTTTCTCACTTAATTTTGAAATCGTACAAATATATATAAGGGTAAACTAGAAACGTTTTAAACAAAAATTATTTTTCCAATGACATTAAATATGATTTCTTAATGGGAAAAAAATCACATTTCAGGTGTTATATTTAGCCTAATTCAAAAATCAGGTAAATAGTTTGAAAATTTAAAAATCAAGTATGTATTTAATTAATTAAAAATATTTATTTAATAAAGTAACAGTTACATGATTAATGGTCACAAACTTTTTATTTAGCAGATAGCAAATCATTGGATATGACGTTAGTACCGCCCAAACCTACCAATTGGTCGCCTTAGCTCCCTTATCCTCTGCAGGTCATCATTACCCGAAGGGAATATTGACGGGAAGGCAAGCGGCCTCATCAACCAATCGAAGGAGAGATCGGTGGCTTGACGTCCGAGCTCGGCACTATAGCTGAGTTGATTGACACGACGGAATTTCGACTGAAACCTCCTATAAATAGTGGGAAACAATTCCTTTATAGAGAGAAGAAAAGAGACTCAGACATTGTATGATTTGACTTTCTATGATTAAGAAAAATGCGTCATCTTTCTTAAAGTTGGCTCAAGAATAGTCCTTATAATTTTTTCGTCAACACGTTTTATAGAACTCACAATCTTTATTACCTTTTTAACTGCATATTAAATTAATATTTTCGAAATATTCTAAACCTTTTATCGAACAACCTAACTTGAACTATCTTGATTATTGTTGAATTTAGAGAAATTCATGTCTAGATTAATATCTCAACAATACATATAATTATTATCAGTCGAGTTGTCTTGTTCTAGATTTTTTCAACTGATAAAGTTATTTCACTATTACATTTATATAAGTCCTAGTTTATTTTGGATTTGTTTGAGCACCATTTTTAGGAAGAACGGATTTTGTAATGTTGAATTTTTGAATTAGGAAAATATTTTGAGTTTACGTATAAAATTGTTTTATTGACAGAATATTATTAGAAGTAAAATTTTAAAGAATGAGTTTGTTCAACATATTTTCAAAGAAGTAATGTTATTTATAGTCAATGATTGTAGCAATCATATTGTGGTACTTTGTAGTTTAAGACCACAAAATCACATAAATTTATATCTCAAATAATAAGTTGTTACATAAAATGATTACTGTAATCATCAACTATTAATAAAATTAGAATAATTCCTTATGTACAGGAAATTATTGAT